TACTAAAGGGAAAGCAGCTAGTCAATAGCACTCACCGTTAACTCTTGGGCCACGTCTTTTGTCCGACTGAATAATGGGAATGGGTCGTCATTCTTATAACGCACCAAAGTGTGGAGCACGATTTGTTTTTTACAATCGATGCACATTACTCTTAATACTCTGAAAGAAGTTAACCCTAATTTAGATAACTAATTATTAATACTGTTAATACACAGATTGACATTTATTCTTATTTCCCCCAAAGGCCGCCTGGAGGGATCATCTGTGTTAACCACTCGCACCACTATTCAGTAGTATGTTGTCTATCAGTAAGTAGACACTAAAATGACGTCACATAAGGGACACTTAACACTGCAATTTGTACTGTTGTTTCGTCAGTAAAACGTGCGCATGCCATGAATCACGAGAAGAATTGTGCACTCTGTAGGTTACAACACAGCATGACATACGAACTTCAAAAGTAAGAAATAAAAATATTTGTTACTCTTAATTTTGATTTTATTTACTTTTGAAACGGAACACTTTCGGAGACCCTGCGGAAGTACATCTAGTTCACATTATTTTATCCCTGATTAAAATTCAATGTGCACTTTTATGAGTACATTTTTATTCGTATTATCAATTCATGCTCAAAGAAGAAATAATAACTAATCAGTAATGATCAATGTTCTTCACACTAGAGGGAAAAAGTATTTGGATAGAGGTGTGACGCAAATAAGTAATACCAAATATCATGAAGAAACACCGGCTTCAGTGAGGTAGGAATAGATAGAAAGATTTTTCTGAATATTTGTAATTAAAGAATATGAAGAAGTGACTTGTGATAGCATTTAAAGAACTAATAAGAACAGTTGTCACATATAAAACTAGGATTTTAAATATGAAACTAATTTGAAGTTGAACATTGAAGCTGAAACTTTGAAAGTGAAAGTAATGGACTCGGGGTTATACGTGAAAATTCACTAATTAATAATATATAAAAATTGGAGAAAATGATTGGAAGTAACTTAGTAATAACGATAAAATACAGTAATACTAATAGCAATACTGAAAAATGAAGAAAGTTGATAGTACATGAGATTTTATAATTATGTGAATTTCACATTTGTTGCATGAAATAAGATGCAGAACTAGTGTGTAACGTATTAAATTATAAATGAAACGGGTGTGATTGAATAATCCAAACTTAATATTGTAGATTTGGATGTGGATGGTTAGGCTTGTTACCGGAACCTCTCTAAGTCTTGTACAATCAGATGTTTTGCACAAGGCCATGAAATTAAACAAGTTCAAACTTAGCCTTCAGTGAATTTAAACTTATTTTACATGCGGAAAGTTTAGGTTTTTAATTTAGATTTGCAGTTTGTTTATTTGTCTATTCATACATCCAGCGATTTCATTTTATATATATGAAACTAGTATTTTATCAAATACAAACCAGATTCACTGGAATTTCGCATTGCAATACAAATAGAATGGAAGTATTTATAGTGATATATTTTTGTGACATAGAAGGTGAAATAAAAAGCTGAAAGTGGTTAATTTAGAATTTATATTAATTTGGTGAATTTAGGTAAAAACAATTAAACTTTCATGAAATATACTACTAAATTAAAATATTGGAGCCAAAATATGTACTTCATACATGTACATAATAATAATAACAATTTACAAACAGTATTGAATATGAAATATACTGTCATAATGATTTTTCATAGTTTTTTGAAATTTCTACAAGGAACATTTTCAATTGGTTTGTGTTTTTAAATTTTTCTTAGTTATACTGTAAAAGTGTGTTTTAAGGTAAGCAAGATAACATAAACTTAAGAACAGAAAGGGACCTGTTGGTCCATCTATACTGTTCCATTCACTAAACTTTGAAATAAAAATATAATACTCAAAGGCAGCTCTTATCATTCAAGTACTTATCAAGCCTTCCTTTAAACTCCCTTAAGTTTACTGCTTCCACCACATATGAGGGTAATCCATAACTCTCTTAGTTGAAGATGACTCCTACCCTGCCAAAATTTATATTTATGTCACCTATTCTTACCATTAAGTAAAAAAAAAAAAAAAAAATAGATGAATCAACACTATCAATTACTTTAACAGTCTTAAACATCTCAATCAGACCCCTTTTAACTTTTGTTTTTAAAGAGAAAACTATTTCAGAGATCTTAACCTGTCCTCATATGACAACCTTTCCATCCCAGGTATCATCCTAGTCGCTCTCTTTTGAACCTTTTCCAACAATTGGTGTTGAATAAATAATCACTGAAATTGTTTTTTAAACTGAATTATAGAAATAACATTTTCATTATCACTGTCCATGAGGCATGTTGAATAGCTTTTGTATTTAAAATAAGTATCATGCTCCATTTAAAAATAATATTTTACTCCTAAATAATAGTCCTAAGTTTTATTAATGAACTAATGTTAAATATTAAAAAATTTTTGGGCAGCTAAAGTACTTTGGTAACTCCTATTAAAGTAAAATGTTTTTCTTACATGTGTAAAATCTGAGACATAAAATTAAATGTTTGCAAATTTGAAAAAGAATCAAGTGATATTATGTGCCTTTTCCAACTTTATAGAATACATTCACTCTCATTATTAGTTACTGTGAACTAATTTTAAAACAGATAAATTGGCAAAAATATGCTTGTGAAAGGATCCGTTAAAAATGTTTTATTGAAGTTCTTCTTAACAAAGTAACCTGGTAATTCAAAAATAAAGTATCAGATTCTTAAAATTCATGAAAGTATTTGGAATTGCAAGATTGATACTTTTCATCATTTTTATCACCATAATAACGAGAATTACAATTATGATAAGGCTTATGTTTTATAGACTAAGCATTAATATGAGGAAGAATGTAATGTTTAAAAAATAATAGGCCTGATATTAATGTCTTATGACAAGTCTAATGAATTAGTATTAGGTATCTACATTGAAACATAATGGTTCATTTATAGGAGCTATTTCTACACTCTTGAAAACATATAGCCATAGCTTAAAGTAACTATTATTCCGAAGTCATCTCTTAGAGAACTGGATGTGAATTAAATTTTGGATGCTTGTTTCTGGAAAGAGAGGTTAGAATAGAGGAAAAAAAAGATTCTATACAGAAATGACATAAAATTAGCCAGATATGTGAAACAGTAGTCCATTACATGATTCTTTTGAGAGTTAGTTTTTAGAATATTACATTTTAAGTTACTCAGATCTCTAATTCATTGCATAATATTTTTCAGCTGGAAGTTTACTAGTCATAAGGGAAAGCAGACCAGATTATGTCTGTACTAAAACGTGCTGTCCACAGTGAAGAGTCGGGGTCCGATTCTATAAGACAGGATAAGTGTTCTGAAAGTACAAACATCCAGGGTGATGAAGATAGTGATGAGATAGAGTCAGAACCCAATCTCAGGTTTGATATGGATGAAACAAGTCTCGTTTCTAGAACCAGAAATAGAAAGAAATGCTTTGAGTGTGGTAACAAAATCAGTTTATATAAAGGATTAACTTATGCTTTTATATCCTGTATCTTTTTCTCTCTGTGTGCTGTAATTGTGAGATACCTACAGTCAGTGTACCCTGGAGAACTTGCTTGTTTCAGATTTCTTGGAATTTTCACCTTCTCTCTTCCTCTTGTGATAAATAGTCATCAGAACTTATTTGGCAACAGCAAAGAACGATTTTTTCTGATCTTACGAGGCATTTTAGGATCTACCAGCTTGTTTCTGAGATTTATTGCTTTTCATTACCTCCCTATAGCAGAAGCTTCAGTAATTGTATTTAGTGTTCCTGTCTTTGTGTCGGTATTTGCTCGTATCTTTCTCAAAGAGCCTTGTGGTTTATTTCAGGTGATAACAGTTCTCTTGACAATGACTGGTGTTTTACTGATAACTAAGCTTCCCATCATCCTTCAGTACTCATCTATAGATATTCCACCTTCCATCCGTCTGTATGGAGTGGGAGCTGCCCTCATCTCGACTGTGTTTGCTTCTGGTGTTTACATTGTACTTCGTAAGATGAAAAAAATTCACCACTCTGTCATATTATTCAACTTTGGATGGGTTGGGGTAATTGTGACAGCCCTGAGTACAGCTGCCTTTGGGAACTTTTCGTGGCCACCTTGTGGTATTGGCCAATTCCTAGGTGTTGCCTTGGGTCTTTTTAGCTTTCTGGGACAGATATTTTTCACTAAAGCTCTCCAGATAGAACAAGCTGGATTTGTGTCCATCGTGCGTGCAGCAGCAGACATTGTCTTTGCTTTCCTATGGCAAGTTCTGTTTTTTAAGGAAATTCCAGATGCTTGGAGTATCTCTGGTGCTATTATTGTAAGCATTTGTGTGTTATTGACAAGTGCTAGAAAGTGGTTTGCATCCCTCCCACCATATTCTCCACTGAGAAAAAAACTAGCTTTCCTCATCTTATAATAGAGTATAATCAAAATGTAGTAACAGCAGCAAGAAGTAGGAATAAATTATATTTGTCAACAGTATTAGTACATTCTCAATGTCACACTTGCCCAGGATATGTAAATATTTATTTATTAAGAAAAGATGCTAAAGCTAAAGAAGGTTTAATAAAGAATAAGTTGGATAATTTATCAAGTGAATATTTTTTTTTATTAGAATATTAAAAGAAACATGTATGTTACACTTTAGGATTGTTGATAAGAAATTAAGTCTTTCTTTTTTTTTATCTATTGTAGCATATGCAAAGTTTACAAAAAATTATAAGATATGGGCAGCATGTTTTTTATGACAACAAGACGTATACAGTCTAGTGTTGCAACTATGTTTTTATTATTTTGATTAATAGCTATCTACCAGTTTATCAATACATGTTTATTTCAGACATGCCACTGGAAAGTATATAAAGGTTTATAATATCTATCACTGGCAGATGATTGTTCGTTATGGAACAGAAATTAGAAATTTTATCAAAGCTCCTCATTCTTCAGCATTTGTGTGATTGTCAAGGACCCAAGAAATCTCCACAAAATAACATTTAAGAAGCATCTTAAGATAATTCTAGTCATTCCTTAAATAACAGGTGTTTTCACTTGCACTGCATCCTAAGTTCCTTTAAGCCCATTAGTACTTTTTTTTTCATAAAGTACTATCAAAATATAATCTAATTAATAGACTTATACTAAAGTAAACACTTGATAAATTAGAGCTTAGTTTTAAAAAGGAGCCAAAGTAATAAGCTATTATTAATTGTTAACCATGTTTAAGAAGTTAGGCTTATATTTGTTGCCAGTTAGATCCATTAATATAACTTATAAGTGTAAACTAATTGTAAGTAAACTTAAATACATTCAACACATTGGCTTACAGTAGTAGACTAAGAATTATGTTTTAGTTTTATTTGGTAAATACAGTTAGTTATCAATATGGTCCAACTGCTTAGACTTAAATTGATTGTAATTAGGCTTAAGTTAGATTCAACACATTGGCTTACAGTGTTACACAAAGAATTATTTAACTTATCTCTGCATTTAATTCACTAAGTTAGTAAACTAACAAGGTCTTAACCTTACTGTTATTTTCAAATTACTTCTAATTTTCTAGAATATTTTCAACAGTCTATAAGCATTCGGTAGTATTTTATGAATCTCGTGACCATGAATATTAGTTTATAATAATGGCATTTAATACTCATTTGACTTGGTTTGCTTAATAACCAATGTATGAATACATTTAAATCAAAACATATAATACACTTTTATTTATTTTAATTTAAAGCATTGTATTAAAGACTTATCTTTCAGTGTTCAAGCATTGCTCTATATGTATCTAGTGATTAAAAAACAAGTAAAAAGATGTTCTTAAGATTCAATACCAGTTTGGATGTGGGGCTGAAATAAGCAGTAATAAAACCACAAACAAAGATAAATATCATACAAATAGAAAACTAACTCAAAATTAATGTATATTTCATATAAAAATTACAATAAATATAGGGTGAGGGTGACTAGATTTCTTAGCTATTGGTATTTGTTAAGAAAAATATAGAAAGATTGTTAAGCCTACTTAGTTCCATAAACATCAGTTTTTCTGATGAAAAAATAGTTTTGGTTTATTTATACAAATAAAATTAAAAACAAAATTTGCCTAAAAAAAATACATTAATTGTAATGCAGGAAAAATTCCTTACATCAGTGACAGAGTTAGGGTGTGGTAATCAAGCCGGCCCTCTGGATCCCGGTCTCAAGGGATATCATAGAGGTAAAGTATGAGTAGGTTGTAAACCCTCCATTGACTTCAAACAATTTTTTTTAGGGGGTGGGGGTGGAAATAAACTAATTATTGTAAGATATCTTTTGATATAAGGGCCCATTTTGAAACTCGGGACCCTCCTCCCCTTCAGACACTGCTTTTGTTCTCATAATGCTTTCTGCTGGTTGAAAGTGTTAGAACATAAAAGTATTTATGTAAAAAAAAGTATAAATTTTTCATCAAATATTGTGGGTATGTTGAAAGTCATCTGTAGATGAAAAGCTCTTCAAGTATATTACAGCATTTTTTTTAACCTTCTTCAAGCAAGCTATTTAGAAACAAACATTTTTTATGAATGTGTTATTGAAGGATCTACCTGTTTGAACCACATTTTATTAACTGCATTTCTGATGCCAGTACCATTATAATTTTAACTAAGTGTGTACAAAGTTGTGCCCATGTATTAGAGAAGTAATGTTGACTATAATTATGAATTTACTAGGTGTATCTTAAGGAAGTCAGTCTAACTCATATTGTGACCAGTCAGAGTGCAAGGTAATCTTCATGTGAAGAATAAAAATACTTTTGTCCATTGTACAGTTTAAAAATTTCATGTGCCGAACCTCTACAACCTCTTAAATGCATATCTAACATGTTTTTTCAATATCCCTATATATATATATATATTGTATCTGGTATTTTCTTTAACATGAACTGTCATGAGATCAGTAATGTAGGGTAACAAGAAAAGCTGATAAATATGACATCAAATTCATAATACCATGTTGAATGCCATTCTGTACAAGGTTAGGGCATGCACGCTTTGACCCCCCAACCATGCATATAGGGTTAAAGTACTTGTTTTCAGGCTGGTATACAGAATGTTTGAAAGGAGGGTTTTAATTTGTGAGGTCAAAAGCCAACATATAATGTGCAAAGCATGCTAATGCTACAGGAGGTCTGGGACTATTTCAAGCCAAAAAAGTTAATGCTTCATCAGAAGAATGTAGATTATGTAGAAAATGTTAAATATCATAAGCAGCTGCACTATAACTATATAAGCGTAATTTTTTTATCACATGGTTTTGTTACCATTGATAAAAAAAAGTGCATTTTGATATAGATTAGAAAACATTAAATGTGATGTAGAGCATGCTTTGGGTTGCATAAAGATGATAAAGATATATTTAAGTTTTGTGTGTGTAAATAAAATATATATATATTGTTTTTAATTTTATTGTTTAACTGTAAATTGATGTTACTCAAAATTTTAGTGCTTGTATGTAAATTTTTAATTATAGGAACATAATTATGTGATAATTTTTAAATGAGAGTAAAATTGTTTCATTTTGTTATAAAAGTTAGTAAATCTATAATCAACTGCAGTGTTTTCGAATTTTTCCTTCATTTTGTGAGAACATTATAACAGCAGCTTATTAACACAATGACAAAGTTCAAATCTCACAGGCATCATCCACTGTAATTTAAGAATCCTGAAACAGAAGGATACCAAGTGTAAGGGTTAAGAAATTAAAAACGTTGTCAACTCCTCCATGTTCATACCCTTGAAAACCAGGAAGGTAACAAGTTACCATGGCAATGAGTATTGAAATATATATATATATATATATATATACCCTAATCAAAACAAGTTTTATTTTTGTAGAAGTGGGGTTTTGTGTAACAGATATGGGTTAAATTAAAAACTGCAGTTGGTTCATCACAATTGTGCATGAATTCAAACAGGGTTAGTTTTGATTTATTCAAGCTAGATCCAGTGATAGAAGCTGTATTTCGAGGTTGGGGGAGGTCAGTTTATCAAAACATCAATTCAAGATTTGTATTTTGGAAGTAGAATGAAGGTTTTGTCATTTCATTAAACTACTTGTATTATTAGTATTATAACATATTAAATTGCACATTTTATTGAGTATAAAATGTAAATATCTGGGGTAATCCCCCCCAAATTAAAAATGTTCATGTTACTTTTCTATTGTTAACAGTCAGTGCTCTTTTCCTTTTGTGTAAAGTGAAGTGAGAACATCCAGCTACATAACAACACATCTAAATGTTTAAAACAGAAATGATCATTAAGCTGTGTAAAAAATTTAAAGTAGACATATTTAAGTCTTTTAAGTAAGTGGTCAAATTAAATATTGATAATAAATTAAAATTGTTAAACTACATGTGATACAACATATGTATGTGTATATTAACTACAATTGTTTGAAATATTATCTACAAGGTTTTGAGTCTATTTTACTTCACCATATAGTAACCTAAATTAATTTAGATATGTGAATAATGTTATGACATTTCGTCAAATGTATTGTTTGAAGTATTGTCCCTGTATTTGCATAACTGCTCAAATAGCATGATTTTATTGGTCTGATGGGATACTTTGTGATTTTTAATGATGATATTTTTCATGTTAAGTTCCTGCTTCTTAATGATTAGGAATAGAATTTCCTAGGCATATTTTCTGGTACTTTTCAAATTTTTTTCTTAAAAAGGTTAGTGAAAACAAACATCTGTGCACCAGGGATGGGCAACAGTATGAGGTTGTTGGATAACTAGAATTATCACAACTTTTTATGAACTTGTGAAGAGGTTTTGTTTTCATCTCACATATACATACGAGTTCAGTCTTTCATCTTGTATTGTTGTTTCAAAAAAGAAAGAAACTTGTAAGTTGAACACTGTGGTATGTAGAGTTGTTTATATTTGCATTATTTGTCATATTAATCAAGCACAATTTAACCTTTTTTATGCAAAAATAATGAATTTTTTGTATTAATTTCTGGGTGTAAGGTGCAAGAAAGACAGTTAGACTGTTTTAATTTTAAGGTATTTAACAAGTACCCTTAAAAGTTTATGCAAATGTTGTAGCATAACTTCGAGTCGCATGATTTGTTTCACACAGATATGGCAAAAGTTTACACTTTTAAGGTTGTTTTTCCGTTTATTGTTAGGCAACTAGTCAATCATTCAAGAAATAATTCTGTATGTATAATTTTCTTAATTTCATGTTTTCCCTAAAATGATGTTTATCAATTCAAGTTTTAGAACATTTTCTGATTGTGATTTGCAGGAGACAGTAAATTATAATTCTAGTCACATAAAATATTTGAGTTAGAAGCTTCGATTGTTTCATAAATTATGAGTTCATATAGAAAGAAAAGGTCAAACACAGAGTAAGCTAAACATTTTTATAAAAGTGTGGAGATTATTCAGGGAAAGATGTGAAATGTTTTATTTTGTTGTTCCAATTAAAAAAAAATGTTTAAAACAGTAGTGTGTGGTAATGTAGTCTTTTTATTATTAAAAGATAATTTTATCAAAAAGACACTAAAAATCATGTTTTGATACATGTGGGAAACAAATCACATATAGCCCATTGAGGAGCTGTGAACTTAACAACAACCAAATCAAACCCAAAAATAAAAATAATTTTAAACATCTCATCAGATGTGAAGAAATTACAGCAAAATTTTACTGAAAATTAATTCATCTAAACACATTAAAAGTAATGTGAAATCTAAATGTTAAATAAAAGTTATTACAATTTTCATTTGATACATTTGTGCTTTTGTATCATTACACGTAGAAGCAGTAAATATAGACTATTTTATAAACTAAATGAATATTTATTTAGGATTTAGATAGCCATATTAGCCTACAACTTTGAAAGTTGTTTTTAAAAAATTTGGCTTGACAATGAATCAATCATTTTTTCTCAAAACCCAAAATTAGTTGTTTCTGAAATGCAACAGGATTAGAATGAAAAAATAAACAGAAGTGAATGACAATTATAAAGAATGATTAAAGAGAAATTAATGTTAAAAGTGTGTCAATGGCAAACGGTTAAGAATAACTCCACATCACTTAACCAGATAGAAACTTGTTTTCAAATTATGTAAGAAATTGTTTGATTTTCAGATACCACTAGGTGGCTTATCAGTCAAG